TATCACAGCAACAGAAAAGTGACTAATACAAAAGACCAAATATTTAAAACCCCACAAATAATACTCAACAATGAAAAGCTGACAACTTTTCCTATAAAGTCAGGCCCTAACAAGGATGCCCACTCTCACATTTCTTTTCAACATAAAGCTAGAAGTCTTAGCCAGAGCAATTAACCAAAAAGAAAAAAGAAATAAAAGGTATCAAAAAAGGAAAGAAAGAAATAAAATTGTTTGTTAATGACATAAATACATATACAGAAAACCCTAAATACTCCATGAAAAAAAAAGATTAGAATTGATACAAAAATTCAGAAAAGATGTACAATAGAAACATTAACCAAAAATATTTATTAACCAATAAAATATTGTTAAATATACATTTAACAATGAAATTAGGTATTGATGGTTAATTTGGTGAAAAATAGGTGAAAGATCACTCTATAGTTAAAACATAAGAACACAAATGGCTCAGTGGGAAAAAGCACTTGCTGCTCTTGCAGAGGATTGGTGTTCAGTTCCCAGCACCCACATGGGATGGCTCACAAGGGATGGCTCACAATTACATGTTAACTTCAGCTCCAGGGGACCTAATGCCCTCTTCTGGCCTCTGAGGGCACTGCACACACATGATTCACAAGCAGGCATACATATACAAATGCACATTAAAAAAACAAATTTTAAAAGTTTTTTAACACAACTATAAGAAACTGAAGATATAAATAAATGAAATGGGTCCATATTCGAAAACTTGAGGGAGGCAAATGAAATCACTCAGGGATAAAGGCACTTGCTGCCAAGGCTAATGATCTGAGTTTGATCCCGTTACCTACATGGAGGAAAAGAAAAACCAACTCTCACAGGTCATCCTCTGACCTCTCACATGCCATGGCACACACATCCCTGCACACACACACACACACACACACACAAATAAATAAATAATAAATAAATAAATGTTAAAAAGTTTTTGAAACAAAAAGATTTCAAGAACTAATATCATTAAAATGTCCATTGTGTCCAAAGTGATGACCTACAAATTCAAAACTTAGATACAATTTTTCACATAAGCAGTAAAAACAAGTCTGAGATAGGTAAAGTGAAGATATATTGGTTAGCTTGATATAATCATTGCATATTTTGTGAACAGCTGCAAAACTGCATCATACCTCATCAACAGATATAGATTATTATTTTTAACTAAAATAATAAACACAGATATAAATTACCTCATGTCACATATTATAGGTACACAATTATGTTTTATCATAAACACTCAAAACTGCTGAATTCAAAGGGTTTGTGCATTTGCAAATCAGAAAGATGGTGCTAAACAACCCCTAAAAGAGCTTTACAAAATTGCAATCCAACTTATTCCATAAGAGAATGCCTTTTCATGAGTCTCTGCCAACAGTGCATCATCCAACATTTTGGGCTTTGCCAGCTACATACACAAAAGCGTATTGCACTATAGACTTAACTGGAAATTTTATATACATGTACTAGCAGGTTTTCTTACATCTTAGAGCTATCTAAAGTCAATGTCTATAACTATTTCTTTCATTTAACTTGCCCATTTTTTCACTGGGATTCTTTTCATTTAATGTACTGAATTTCAGTTCTTTCTAGATTAGGATGTCTAAATCAAACTTTATATTTTTTGTTGTTGTTTTGCCTTGGGTTTTGATCTGCTCTGCTCTGCTCTGCTCTGCTCTGCTTGTTCTTGACAGGTCTCATTATGTAGCCCTGACTGGCCTGGAACTCACTATGTAGACCAGGCTGACGTCGAACACATAAAGATCTGCCTGCCTCTGCCTCCGAGTGCTGGGATCAAAGGCAGGTGTCACCACACCCAACTAAAATCAACTTTTTAAAGAAAATTTATTTTATTTTTTATTTATGTTTGTGTTCATGTGTGTGCACGTGTACATGCATACTCATGCATCACACAACACACAGGAACCCTGAGAGGCTAGAAGATCCCCCGGAGCTGGAGTTAGAGGCAGCTCTCAGTTGCCTGACATGGGTAATGGGAATTGAACCTTTTTTCCTGTACCTATCTCAGGCTCTTCATTCATTTCTCTCTTTTCACAATTAAATAAGTATTTAGAGATGTTCCAAGTATTGAGCTGGAGAGATGGCTCAGGGGTTAAAAGCACTGACTACTCTTGCAGAGGACCCAGGTTCGATTCCCTGCACCCACATGGAAGCTAAGAACTGTCCTTAACTCCACTTCCACGGGAATCCGATGCCCTTTTCTTACCTCTGTGGCACTGCACAGCACAGGTGCACTCACACACATGCAGGTAATACACTAATACACATAAAATAAAAATAATAAAATATTTTAGAGACGTTTCAAGTGTAAGAAGCAACGCATGGATCCAACAACATTTTACTTAAAATGTTTCCTCTCAGGAAACTTATGTAAATGATATCTAGGATAATATTCTAATTCCAAATTACATAATTAAGGCTAGGTTTGCTGAGATTTCAAATACAAAAAATACTATTGGATTAACTACAAAAGATGAGAATCTGGCTTATACACACCACCCTTTCTCTCCGTCCTCCTATGGCAAGTAACTATTATAACATTTAGTTCTTCTACTGAGTCCTTAGCCAGTTGTTTGTTTGTTTCAATTTTATGTGTATGAGTGTTTTACCTGCATGTGAGTACACCCAGGTCATGCAACGATTGTGGAGGCCAGAAGAGAGCATCAAATTCCCTGGAACTGGAATTAGGGACAATTCTTAGATGCAATGTGAGTGCTGGGATCTGAACCTGGGTCCTCTGGAAGAGCAGCCAGTGCTCTTACCAACTGAGCCATCTCTCCAGTGCATCTAATTTAAATAATTTACTTTGCCATTCTTCTTGTTTCAACAGCTTTCATCAGTGTCTAGGGTTCAGTTGAATAAGCAAGTGGCCAGTAGCTCCAATAGCTGAAGGCTGTCTATGAATCTTGAGCTCCTATGAAAAGAACTACAACTAACTTACCACAGAAATAAACTGAGACTTAACCTAAGAGTCAGAGTGTCAGCCACGCATGGTGGTACACATCTTTAATTCCAATAGTAAGGAGTAGAGACTGATGGACTTCTGTGAGTTCAAGGTCTCCTCTACAGTGAGTTCCAGTCCAGTGTAGCTGGGGCTAAAGGGAGACAATGTCCAAAAGAAAAAAAAAAAAAAAACCCAGAATCGGTTCCCAAACAAGTAGCTGGGTCTCATGCAATTAGAAGTATCTGCGTTGATTAGCTAAATGGACATAGGATTAAACCGACTCCTAATGACTTGTGCCCACAAATTAGTGCATTCCTCAGCTCTCACCAGAGAAGCTTCTTCTTGCAGGAGATGGCGATTAACACAGAGACCCACAACTGGTAAACCTACAGAGAAAACGAGACTGTGGTGTGCTCAGCCCTAAAAGGGCACCTGTATCTCATCCTTTCCTCACTGTGAAGAGGGGGTGGATGAATACAAGGAATCTCCTCTCCAGACACAGCAGAGCTGCACGTGCAAACCCACAGTACCTGAGACAGCATGTACAAGATCTGCAAAAGCTGAATCCAGACAAAAATCAAGCATGGGGGGAGGTGGGCAAGAAGGCCCACATCAAGTTTAGGATCATTGGAAACTGAGAGTTATTGGGAGGGGGAGAGTCGGTTTTCTTTAAAAGTATGACACCGGATGACTAGAACACGCTTCAAGAGAGAACTACACACATGGACCTTAGGGAACATAAATTGGACACAAGAGGCCTTAACAAAACAGAGGGGCAAAAAATAAAATAGAGGGGCTATAGAGATGGCTCTGTGGTTGAGAACACCGGCTGCTCTGGCACAGAAACTAAATTTGGTTCCCAGCACTTACATGACAGCTAATAAATATCAATAACTCTAGATCCTGGGAATCCAACACTCTCTTCTGGTCTCGCAGGCACAGCACAACATGCATGCAGGCAAAACACTCCTACACACACAAAATAAAAATAAATAAAATTTTAAACAAAATTAAAAAACAGAATAAAGGACATAAAGCAAGGGGGTGGATCTGAGAGGAGTTGGGGAAGGGGTCTGAATATAGTTCAAAACATTCTAGGAAGTTCTCAAAGAACCAATCAAAATATTTTTAAAGTGTCCAGGTTCAGGGAATCACAGGTAGTCAACTGATCAAAATAAGTAAACTAAACAAACACAGCAGCATGATGCTGTTCTGCACTCTCAGCTGTTACATAAGTCATGCCTTTGCCCGGTGTCCACACTGTATAGCCTCCCAGCTCATTCTCAGTGCTCTTCTCCACTATCAGATCAATGGCTGGCCCACACGACACCTGTGCTCAAATAACCCTTATTCCGAACAATAAAGCACTTTTTAGTACAACAGGTTGTGATTTAATTGTTCTCTGATGTGCCTGATTTACAGGTTAAACTTCAGAGAGAGAGAGATCAAAAACATAACATATAATTTAGAGGATTTGGTACTATCTGCAATTCTGGGATCCCCTAAGGGTTTTGGAACAAATAGGATGTGGGGCAGGGGGATAAAGAACGATTATTATACTATGAAATATGTTTGATTCCTTGTGATAAACTCTGAGAAAAGGAACACAAGAAAATACGTAATTAGAAACTTCGACTGTGCCCCAATCTTAAAAGGTTCATGCAACTGCCAAGAAATATAAGTATGGCTGTGTTTCGTACCGTCCACTGGTTCTTCCAAACTCACACCCTTATGCAGCTCTTAGCCTGAAGAATAAAGTTTCCATCCAGTGACGGTGCACACATGAAGGACAGCCATCTCAGACCATCCCCTTGTTCCACACGCCCCCAACAGCAGGGATCCAACTCACAGAGCCCCGTGACCCACAGGCCCCGCCCCTGCCCTGGAGAGCCCAGCTCCCCCTTCCCTGGCAGCTTCCCTGCCCCGCCCTGCTGGACCTCAGGCGGGATCTGTCCCCGAGGCTGCGCACTAGGGCCCCGAGCGGTCCAATCAGCAGTCTGCCTGCTGGAGGTGTGTGCACGCAGCTCCGCCTCCACTGCTCAGACCCGGCTTCCTTTGCCCTCACTCCACACCCTCCTCTGCATCATGGGGCCTGGGCCGCGCACCCTGGAGCTCTTCTACGACGTGCTGTCCCCCTACTCCTGGCTGGGCTTTGAGGTGATGCGGGGAGTCGCGGGGCGGTGGCCTGCAGGGCCAGGGAACAGGAAGCGCGGGTGCAGGGCACAGGGAAAGGCTGCAGAGAGTCCTGCTGCTGCGCTCAGGGTCAGGACAAACAGAGAACATTCCAGGGCCAAGGGTCGCTTTGTACCTTTAAAGGGGTTAGTGTCTGGGGCCCCAAGTACCGCACTGAATTCCTGGCCTAAGTATTTCTAAGCAAAATACAGTCTCTTTCCTCTTAGAAGGACAGGGCAACTTCAGAAAAATGAGGACAAGTTGGGGCAGGGGCTGAGGTGCACAGCAGGATGGAAACCACAACCAGAGCAAAGATTCTGGGAGCGATTTCCAGGAGCCATGAGTTTTGTCCTTTCAAACCAAAGAGTTGAGTGTGCAGTAGTCACCCCAGGTCTGCCCTGAGAGCCGGCAGACAGCTCCCACTGGCTCCATCAGCCACACCTGCTCACTTCCTATTTCTGCACCCACAGGTTCTATGCAGATACCAGCACCTCTGGAACATCCAGCTGCAGCTGCGGCCCGCCCTCATCTCAGGAATCATGAAAGACAGTGGTAGGGAAGAAGAAACCCTTGGAGTCAGGCAGGGAGGGCTCCTGGGAGGTCGGATTTCTGTGTCCTGGGGGGCTGTACTACATTGGTATACTGACATTTGCAGCTAGTAATTTACTCTACCTGACACCCCGGAAGGGACTCCAAGCCTAGGACCCTCAGGTCTGTGACCAGCTGTTGAACTCTCCACTGCCAGGAAACAGGCCTCCAGCTTTGGTTCCCCGCAAAGCCCAGTACATGGCAAATGAGATTCCTCTCCTGAAACAGCATTTCCACATCCCCATCCACATGCCCAAGGACTTCTTTGGTGTGCTTCTTAAAAAAGGTGAAGGTCGGGAGCAGCGGGGAAATCTAATGTAGGGCAGAGCACTTGGGACTTTAAGAGCTAGGTAGGAGAGGCTTGCTTGGGAGATTAACAAGTGAAGCTTATATGCTGGGAAACCCAGCCCCTCATAGCCCAAGAAGCCAAAGGGTGTGTGTGCTGGGGGAGGAGGTGTTGGCATAGAGGAGGGCTGAGCAGGGCAACTTGGTTATGAGAAACTGGGTGAAAGACTGCAGGTGGCTGAGCCTGTCAGAAACAAGGAGGAGCTGGTCCTCCACCAGGACACAAGGAACAGGAGTCCTAGGTCTAACTGCCTCTGCCCCACAGGAAGTGTAAATGCCATGCGCTTCCTCACCACTGTGAGCATGGAGCAACCAGAGATGCTGGAGAAGGTGTCAAGGGAACTCTGGATGCGAGTGTGGTCTCGAGTAAGGACTGGACTTTGGGGGTCATAGGGAGGCTGGGTAGGGGCAAGTTGATGACCTGACCCTTCCCAGGCCAATGTGCAGATGTAAGATCCTGCTCGTCACTACTGCCAAGCCACTGGAACTGCCACTACAGAGCCAGAGTTTACACAGGGAAAGGGATTTAGAAAGAATATCTGTGTTAGATGACAAATTATTATAAAGCTGGAACTAAGAATTCTTCAAAGGATGTCTCATTAGCTGGGGTGTAGCTCAGGTGTAGAGTGCATGCTTCATCTGCCTGAGGGCCTGGGTTCAATCTCCAGCAAAAACACAATAATCTACTGTAGTCAACACATGGAAAAAATGTGTTTGGTGAAAGAAGTCAGTGGCAGAGAGATGACCAGCGTTGGAACCCTAGGTTGGCAGGGAGGGAATATTCACAAGTCTGGAAAGACTCCAACACAAAGCTAACATATACACATGCAAGATAACCGGCTAGTGGCAGAATTCAGTAGCTGCTCAGTGAGAACTGAAAGGAAAGTGCTCAAAACACTGAAATGCATGTCACAGAGAGAAGGGGCCTTTAAAAGTAAGGCGTTCTTTGCCATCAAGTCAGGAAACGCAAAGCAGTCTCCTCCAGCTTAAGAGGAGAGTTGAGGCATATCCACCTTTAGTACATGACATGGCAAGTCACACCAAAGGAACTATGCAAAGAATGGCCAGTGCATCCTCTAGGGTCAGGATCCAGTTCCTGCAAAGTCTGTATATGCAAAATGTAGCCTGCTTTATATGTGAAACTGAACACATTTTAAACAAGCCACTTGAAACTTTCTGAAGGCATAGTTACTTGTTTCTACACAGCATTACATTCAGTGGCCTTAGGCCTTCCCTCTTGTTGAACGGCTCTCTGATTTAACTATCAGACACAATGGCTCTTAGGAGGTCAGGTTGTAGCTTCTCAACCTGAGCCGTACATGGACACCACCAGGAGTGCCTGGTGTGACCTGAGAGACTCTTGTCACCTTCTAGGGAATGGCCTTCAAGGTAGGACTTTTAAAAATACCTGAGGAGTTTTGAGATTGAAGAAACATGACTCTAAACTTTAACAAGTATTGCCATCAGAATCCCTTCTCACAGGCTAGAGGTCCAGCAGGAGGCTGCAGCCATGATTTTGTCCCAGCAATCCTCAGGTAGCCCATGAGACTCGGACCTGAGCCCTTGATTCAACACAGACTGAGGTATTTAGGACTTCTGAAGGATAGGAAGAATTCCAGGGATTTGGAACCTAGCCTTGCTACTGACAAACCCTGCACCTCTAAAGTCAGGGATTTAATGACCACTGACTACAGTGTTCTCACTTGTGAAAGGAGAGGTGAGGCTAGCTGCTCTCTAAGGTGCCCTCCAGCACTCTGTTTCTGTGACAGTGACTTATTCATGTCCCCTGCACTTTGCTCATCTCAAGACTTTGGGGGAAGGATAGACAGCCTGATATTTGTGGATAGGCAAAAGCTTTGCCAGAAAATCTTGAGTTAGGAAAGAATAGAGTTTTCTCCTGATCTCTTGTCTCCACAATGCAGACATAACTGCTTCATCTACCTTCTCCCCCACCCCCCTTTCAGGCTGCAGAGAAGGCAGGTTTGTCCGCAGAGCAAGCCCGAAGCTTTCTGGAGAAAATCTCCACAGCACAGGTGAAGAACAAGCTCAAGGAGACCACTGATGCAGCCTGCACATATGGGGTAAGCAGCTCCATGCATATGCCGAAGCCCCAGCCAGAAAGCAGAGAATTAGTGTCACCATAGGTCCTCCCATCATGAGTTCCCCAGGTCTCCTGAACCACCTCTGCAGCTCCCTTCCTCTCCCTGAGCCCAGTAGAGACAGGGAGAAGGTGGATGGTGATTTTAAAAATAATAAATAAATAAATAATAAATAAATAAATAAATAACAAAGTAAGAGTCTCTGTGTAGGTGAGTAGAGAAGGTGCCTGGGGCCAAGAAGCCTTTTACAAACAACTCTTTCCTTGCTGTGTTTCTGGGTTGCCTGGAAGCACTCCACCTCAGCCCAGTCAGCACCTGCTCTATCACCTTTCTCTAAGGCCTTTGGGCTGCCCACCACTGTGGCCCACGTGGATGGTAAAACCTACATGCTGTTTGGCTCTGACCGCATGGAGATGTTAGCTTACCTGCTGGGTAAGTTCAAGTTTCCACTCTTTAAGCTTTTGATGCCAGCCCCACCCCCATTATCTCCTGACTAGGAAAAAGCGTTCTTGGTATGTCCATCAAGCAAGCCATGTACAGTCACAGTGCTGACCAAGGCTGAATGGGTGGGCATTCTTCTCCATAATGGACAAAAAAGCCCTCTAGATCTTGAAGCCAAGCAGGTCTCTTCCTAGAAGGTTCTGGGGCCCTGTGGCCCTGCTGCCATCAACCTGAGAACAGTGTGCTGACTTCTGTGATTTTTCTCCATCCAGGAGAGAAGTGGATGGGCCCTGTGCCTCCAACCTTGAAATCAAGTCTTTGAGATTGCCCGAGGAAGTAAAGCATTGGTGCAAATGAGCAGGCACCTGCCTATCCCTCCTTCTCCTTAGAATACTGGACCTTGGCTGTCTTTGTCAGACAAAGCTGTCTTCTGTGGCCCAGAGGCTGTTTTCCATCTATCCCCCAGAATGCTGAAACAGGTTCTAACCTTTGCTGTGACTACCTTTAATTCTGTGCCTCATACGTGCCTTTTGGAAAGCCTTCAATTCTGATTTCCCACAAATAAACCAGATGCCACTAGACAAAGCACTTCTGGGTCTGCATCTGTCCTCCTAGTCTTAGCGTACTCCTGCTCCTGCCATCACTTCTTGCCCACTCTAGAGGTTAGGCAAGAAGAGCTCGTTCTGTACCCATAGCTCTCCCAGCTCCCAGCCCGCTGTGCTGCAGGTGCAAACAGTCCCTTCTCTGTCTCACAGAAACTACTTGATTGTCAGGGTCAGAAAACTAAGCTAAATGGACTTTGCAACAAATCAGCTTCCATTTACTGTCTCTAATGATGAGAGATGTGGGACCACAGGCCTGATGACAGCGAACAGAGAAGGAACCAGAGAATGACCCAGCTCTGCTCAGATAGTTAATCTGGGTCCAGCTATACAAACCAGTTGGAGGGAGACCCTGGCCTTGCTGTGAACTGGAGAACCTTTCATGACTTTCCCAGATCCTGAGAATACACTCTGCCTCTGTCCACAGCCTGATATAACACCTCTTCCCTGAAAAGTATCTTTAGCTTTCCCACCCTCTCTCCCAACTGCTAATTATTCATCTGAAGTCCTTACTTATATGCATTCCCTACTGTGCTACCATGAGAAGCCTGTGATTTCCATAACATACTTACTTCCATGGGAACAGTGTGTTCTGAGTTGAGATCACACTTGGACATCTGATACAAACCCCCCTCGGGCAGAGCCTTCAGTAGTGCAAGGGTATCGCCAGCTTTTCTTGGCTCGATCCCTCCAGCTCTTCCTTGTCTTTTGTTCCATTTCCCCTTGTGGACTCCATTACGTTCTAGCTTCCTCTCTTCTCTCTTCCCTCTTCAACAATCCCTACAGAATTTAAAATCATCCTACCCTGGTTCACTGTGATGTAATGCCAACTGTACATGTCAGGTTAAGTATTCCCTTTTCCAAAGGAGCTTGTGTTACATGCAGGTCACATCAAATAAAAATATATGGGCTGGAGAGATGGCTCAGCAGTTAAGAGCACTGTCCTTGCAGAAGAGCCAGGTTAGAGTCCCAGTATCCACATGTGTGTTCCCCAGGGGTTCTGTTTCCTCCAAACGGTGGGGCCTGCTGCGCAGAATTGACCCTGGACAGTTAGCCACGGAAGGAGGGACTTGTGGTGCCATCTTGGGACCGAAGCTGCTAGTGCTAGCGTGCTCAAGGACAGAATGGCCTGGCACTTATGGGCCTGGGGCGAGACCGCTGGCCCCTGAGGCGTGGGTGAAAGCTAGCAGTGATTATGGGCATGCTGAAGGAACGAGCTGATGTGGCGGGATCTGAGCCACAGCGCAGAGCTGCAGCGCTGAGCTGAGCGGCATGGAGCTAGCCACTGGGTGCTCGTTTCTTCGTAAGTCACTCCTCTCCTCCCCCACCCCACGATAATAATAAATGCACATAAAGGTATGTTATATGGTTTGCCTGATAGTGCAAGAGACCCAGAGAGAACTCTGGCGACAACATGGCAGCTGACTGTCTGTAACTCCAGTTCCAGGGTATCCGACGCACTCTTCTGACTCCCATGGGTACTGCACAGCACGGATGCACTTGCACACATGCAGGCTTAACACTCATACACATAAAATAAAAATAAATAAATCAAAATAATTTTAAAAACTAAAAATATATGAAAATATCTAATGTTTACAAATGCAAGGCAAAATTAAAATAATATGTAGCTTAGTATAGATTACAGCCAGCCAGACCACAGTGAGCACAGAGTTTATGAATAAGGGTGCTTGGCTCTACACTATCCTTTCATTTAAAAATCGTGATTAGGGCCAGCAAGATGGCTCAGTGGCTAAAGGTACTTGCTGCTAAGCCTGATGCCAGGAGTTAATCCCAGGAACCCGCATGGTGGAAGGACAGAATTGACCCAAAGTTATCCCAAAGCTGAGTGTGGTGGCACACACCTTTAAATCCCAAAACTTGGGAGGCATAGGCAGGTGGATTTCTTTGAGATTGAGGCCAGCCTGGTCTATATAGAGAGTTCCAAGCCAGCCGGGGCTACAGGGAGACCCTGTCTCAAAAAATCAAAGGATTAAAAGTCTTACTTTCCTAACAAGTAGCTGGGTCTCATGTAATTAGAAGTATCTAGGTTCATCAGCTAAATGGACAAAGTATTACATCAACTTCTAATGACTTAGTGTTATGGCCATAGATTAGTACATCCTTCAGCTCTCACTGGAGAAGCTGCTTCTTGCAGCAAATGGTGATTAACCCAGAGACCCACAGCTGGTCGAAGTGCAAAGAATAAGAGGCTGTGCAGTGAGTGCTCAGCCCTAAATGAGATGCTTATATCACATGCTTTCCTCCAAAGACTCAGGGTCACTGTGGAAGGGCAGTGGGGGGTGCAGAAAAATTCTAGACTCAGAGCTGGTGGATGAATACAAAGAAGATGTATGGTTCAGGCACAACAGAGCAGTAGCATAGATAAACCCACAGCAGTTGTGACAACATGTACAAGATCGGCAAACACCCAAGCCAGACCAACACCCAGCATAGAGGGGGAGGTGGGAAAGAAGCCCAACCTCAAGTTGAGAATCTATTGGCAATAGATAGCTACTTGGAGAGGGAGAGTCAGTTTTCTTTATGAGTGTGACACTGGGTCCAAGGGATGGACCCACACCCAAGGGCATTTGGGGAGCACAGACTGGACTCAATAGGCCTTTTAAAGTAATAGAGATCCTAGCTAGTATAAAAAACCAGAGGGAATCTTATTTGTCCCAAAACCTACTGAAAAGTTACACATAAATATCCCTACGGGTCCATGAGTATAGCTGAAGATTACATAAGAAGAAACAGTGCCAGATAGGAGAAACCTTCCTTTGAGTTGTTGGCCAGGGTAGTCCAAGACTCCCAAAATTACACAGGCTATTGCCACAGTCCTTGATTGCCTCCCAAAACTTGATGATAAGACCCTATTGCTGAAGACAGGACATACTTTGGATACAGGATTTAGAGCAATGGAGCTGGAACTGACCTGGAAGCCATCTCCCCTGAAGGCTAGCTCTCATAGCTTTGGAGAGCACTACGGAAGCTGGTAAGGATGAGCATCAATTGATGGTCCAACCCCAGCTTCAAGGCCTTAAAACCACATCAATGACTAGCACAGAAAACGGCATTGGTGCAGTAGTGGCACTTTTATCTTGGGGGTAATCAACAGCTACCTAATTGGACTTAAAGCCCACTCAAAGGGAGGAAACTCATGTGTGGTACTGAAAACTTAGCCAAATACACATAGCTGGAGAGGTCATAGATTTAGAGAAAACCCCAAGGCTCTCATATCCCTAGGCAAATTAATTTCTTACTATGTGCAAAATATGGATCCTTAAATTTACAGACAAGTATCCCAGTCACCACCCACGAAAGTAGCTACTTTTTCAACAGACAAATTACTACGGAGTTATACCACTGGTCACACACAGAGATTCTCTGTGAACTGCCCAAGCCTATGTGGCACATCTAGGAGGCAACCTCGAAACCTAAGACTCATGGAACAAAGAACAAGGGATGAAGAGAACACTAACGCATCTTTCAGCTCTCATCAATGAAGCTTCCTCATGCAACAGAGAGCCTGAAACACAGAAGGCCACAAATGGCCAAAACACAGAGAATAAGAGTCTGCAGAGTGTGGGTCCTTGGGCAGGACTCCTGTAGTGAGGTCCACACACCCAGAGCTCAGGAACCATTGCGGAAGAGGGGGCAGAAAGATTGTAAGAGCCAGGGAGGAGGTGCATGGCCATACAGAAATGGTCCATACAAATGCCTGGGACCCTTCTCATACAAACCTATACCCATGGTGTCAGCATACACAAGACCCACGCAAACTTAGGCAGACAAAAACCCAGCTAGAACTGTGGAAATGAACAGCAAGCCCAAACTTGGTCAAAGAATTATTGGCAACTGATTAATGCTAGGTGGGGAAGAGCTGATCTTGAAGGGAGAGACTCTACATAGGCTGACTAAACCCTGGTGGATGAACTCGCACTGAGGGACATCAAGGGACACTAACTTTACATAGGCCTTAACATAAATGACAGAATGTATGAACTCCAGTGGATGGGGTCGGGGGGCAGCTATGGGACAGTGCCAAAGAGGAAGGGGGTATAAAGATGACTATATATGAAATATACAATTCAATAAAAATAAATAAATAATGTAATAGAAAAGCTGGAGAGATGGCTCAGTGGTTAAGAATACTGCCTGCTCTTACAGAGGACCTGGGTTGTTACCCAGCACCCACAAGGCAGCTAACAGCTGTCTATAACTCCAGTTCTAGGGGGATCTGACACCTCCTTCTGACCTCTGCAGGCATTGCATGACATGGGTCCATGCAGGCAATACACTCATACACAAAAATTAAAAATGACAAACAAAATATTAAACTTTTTACAGTTTTAAGTATAATGAAAAAACAGTAGAGGACATAAAGCAAGTGGGGCAGGAAGATGGGGTGGATCTGAGAGGAGATGGGGGGAGGTGTCTGAATATGGCCAAATACATTGTTTGAGATTCTCAAAGAATCAACAAAAATGGTTTTCAACTATCCAGGTTCAGTGAATCATAGGTAGTCAACTAAGTAGATGATGTCCAAATAGAGCCCATCCCTCATTACAATTAGTCAAGTTGTTTCTGTGCCTTAGTCACTTGTTCTATCAACATTGGCTGCCAACAGAATAGAGACTTTTGAGCCTCTCCTGGCTTTAAGGAATGCCTGTCTAAACTGTTCTTCTCTCCAAAGAACTGTTTAAGTTGTCTAAAGCTTTTCTTTAACACCAGCTACTGCTCTCAGCAACATAAATGTGATGGAATACAGAAGTCAGTATATTTTTTAATCTGTGTGTCTATGCCTGTTTGTGAGTGAGAGTGTGATCATCCCACATGTGGAGATCAGAGGACAACTTGGGATGTGACTCCTTGCTTTCCACCTTGTTTATCCCTATTTTCCTTCAGTTCTTTGATTTCTTTGTGTGTTCTTTAAATTCACTGAATTCTTTTATCATGTTCATAATTGTTCTTTTGAGTTCCATG